GCGCAGGAGAACGCGCTGGTGTCCTACTCGCTGGTGGAGCGGCCGGTGGGCGAGCGCGCGCTGTCGAGCTACGTGTCAGTGCACGCGCAGAGCGGCAAGGTGTACGCTCTGCAGCCACTGGACCACGAGGAGCTGGAGCTGCTGCAGTTCCAGGTGAGCGCGCGCGACGCAGGCGTGCCGCCTCTGGGCAGTAACGTGACGCTGCAGGTATTCGTGCTGGACGAGAATGACAACGCGCCGGTGCTGCTGGCGCCTCGGGTGGGTGGCACTGGTGGTGCAGTGAGCGAGCTGGTGCCGCGGTTGGTGGGTGCGGGCCACGTGGTAGCAAAGGTGCGCGCGGTGGACCCCGACTCGGGCTACAATGCGTGGCTTTCGTATGAGCTGCAGCCAGCGGCAAGCAGCGCTCGGTTCCCGTTCCGCGTGGGGCTGTACACGGGAGAGATTAGCACGACTCGTGTCCTGGAAGAAGCGGACTCTCCGCGCCACCGCCTGCTGGTGATAGTGAAGGATCATGGTGAGCCGGCGCTGATGGCCACGGCCACCGTGCTGGTGTCGCTGGTGGAGAGCGGCCAGGCTCCAAAGGCGTCTTCGAAGCCGTCGACTGGCGCTCTGGGTCCCGAAGCGGCGCTGGTGAATGTCAACGTGTACCTGATCATCGCCATCTGCGCGGTATCTAGCCTTCTGGTGCTCACGCTGCTACTGTATACTGCGCTGCGGTGCTCAGCTCCGCCCACTGAGGGTGGGTGCCCGGCGGGCAAGCCCACTCTGGTGTGCTCCAGCGCGGTGGGGAGCTGGTCATACTCGCAGCAACAGCGGCAGAGGGTGTGCTCTGGTGAGGGGCCACTGAAGACGGACCTCATGGCCTTCAGCCCCAGCCTTCCTCCTGATCTGGGATCAGTTGATGTAGGCGAACAGCAAGGTTTAAATGTTGATCATGGCCTCAAAGTAAGTCCATTTAAATTTAGAACTCATAAATTCTATTTGTGGAAATTGTAATTACTTTAAAAGTGTTTCATATGTATTTTTCACCGTATTATATAGTGAAAATTTAAACATTGTTTTAGTTTTTAGAAACCTTTTATAATTAATTGAATTTTCTCAGTGGCATAATACAGTATTAATCATTCTCCACAAGTTGGGTCTATCTGGAAACTCAAGTTATGGTTGGATGATATCCTTTTTTTACTGACCATTTATTTTGGCCTGCCTTACAGCCGTCTTCTCTGAACAATGCTCTAACAACGTCCAGGGTATTTTGATCTTTGGTGAATGTATTCCCCCAAAACATTTATTCTTTTGTCCTTAGGCACTGAACTCTTAATCTTACTCCATATGCTGTACTTTGAAATGCATGTTTTAAATATGTTGTCGTTATGTTTACTCTTATTCACTTTAACATCTCAGTTTATTCATCTTATTATCTGACTTTCTGGTGTCTAGTAGTCACAAATATCTTTGGTGTTTCACTATTGCCGTTTTAAGCAATGTAGTGATAAAATACAGAATAATAGTGTTTTTCAAAATTTGATAGTTTTCATATACTTCCTATTTTTTTTTTTTTTTTTTTTTT